ATGTTGCCAAGATTTTAAATAATCTTTTATTCTCCTCTGAGAAGTAAATCTTACATGATAGACTCTAAACAGTGACACTAAAGTAGAAGACTAAGAGCACTGTGATCCAGTAGCCAGTTGGTCTCCTTGGAGTTGACAGGTACAGTAACAAGAAATGCTTGAGATTACCACTAAAAATATCTCTGAAACATTTACCGGAAGTCCTTTTCTCTGTAAACAAGCTCTTTAAAATGTAAAATTTAACATAATTTAGTCTATTTCTGCAGTCTTTTACAAATCTGAGGACCAAGTCTGCTCAGGGACCTCCAATAAGTTTAAAGTAGTATGGCATGTATTTTTTTTTGAGAAATTAATAAAACAAGCCATAGCATTTTCAAAGAGAAATGGGAAGGAAAATAAAACTTCTATTACCATATCAGTGTATTAATTATCCGATTTTAAAGGTACTACCCAAACTTCTCTGTTTCATTTGATACATCTGTTCTTGTGAATTGATAACATAGGAGGTTTTAGAGTGCAGGTCTGGAACACCTTGTCAGTGGGCTGAAGGGATTTCTGGATAAGTACACAGAAGAGGAAGGCACTCGGTGCTGCTACATCTTAAGATTATGCTGTCCCAGTGGAGACATCCAATGACTGCAAACTGTTGGAACCTGGAAATGTCTTGATGTTTTTATGTCCTTCCTGAAGTAGCCTACTGGCCACATGTAGTCACAGAATCTGGTTTGCAAAGACCTTTCCTCTGACCCAATACAGTTTTAATGACATTTTCACTCTTTTAGGTCAGGATAGTCTTCTGCTTAATTAGTGAACTGAAGCAGCTCCATGTGGAAGGAGCATGAGAGTCAGTACAAAGGAGAAGGAAGGAGCACATTATGTGGGTAGGGAAGCTGGCATCAGCTTGAGTTGACTTAAACTCCCATGGGACTGTAGGGTCCTTCTACAAACCTGGTTTCCTTTTTTACACAGAAAAGAAATAGCATTTTATCCCATTTCAAATGAAAGCAGACATATATTCAGCTCCTGACCTCTTCTTCATCAAGAAGGGTTATTTGTGAATTTCCTGGTTACCGCAGCCTTCCCAGTCATTGTACCAAAACCAGCAGCAGTGATTTGTTAGACTGTTATTAACAAATGATGCTTCTTTATGATCCTTGTTCCCACATTATCTGCCTTAGGAGAAGCTGGACCTTGAACTTTTTGAAGCAGGTATTAAAAATCCCTTCCAGAGACGGCTGTATTTTTGGCCTTCTCTAAGGATGCAGATAATTCATTTCAGTGATATGCCATTGCTGGAACAGTCTCTAGCACTGCTGACACTTCAGTGAGATATATCAGTCAAACTGCAAGCAAACACCTTTTGCTAGAGTACTGAACCGTACCTCATGGGAGATAAATCAGTTGCATGTGTGAAATCATGTCTGCAAAATAACTGGATGCAGTGACTTCAGCGTGGGATTTAGGTACCCCAGCGTAACAATAAGTTAATTCCATCAAATTGAAAATGACTGTAAACAGAATTGTGGAATTCAGAAAAGCCTAAAACTCATGAATTTTCTGAGCTTACCACCTTGGACAGGTGCATGAGCATTTAAGTAGCGAAGTCTCATCCACTGCAAAGGGATCGTTTGAAAGCTTCACACAAACCAGCTCCCAGTAATTTTATAGGAGCTTTATTCTCTCACTGTTGCTAACATTTGATTATTTAGAATAAAATAGATCTAGCTTGCTAAATCATGATTTCAAAAAGTCTCACTGGTATCAAGGAGCCTATATGCAGGTCAGGGAAAGGAAGGGTCTCCAAAACTTTAATGTCATGTGTTTGCGAGTTGATTGAAATTTTTTTTCTTCAAAAAATTTTTTCTTTTATTTTATTCAAATTATGATCTACACTTTGGTCTTACATATAACTCAAATCAAAACAGAGAAATAATATAAATTAAATTGTTACCATGTGTATTCAGACATGAATGTTTTCCACTCACTCAGCAGCCCACATGTTCTGGACATATCCCTAAGGCATGTGTCTAGTATAAGTAGCTGCTAATATAATTTGGAACTGCATAGATTTTAAATAATATGCATCTATGAAACAAATTTTAATGGCTTTATTGTCCCCAGCTTATGGGTATACCTCAACGTCTTGCTGCAGAGAATGCCACACAAGAGACGTTGCTCACTGCTTCTTGAAAAGAGCTTCACTAAATTTTCCTTTCTGGAAGTTTACCTGCTATGAACCTCATATTACTATATCCTCTGTCACTCAACATCACTGCTGAGGTCATCCAGAATGTCCAAAAAGAAAGATTTCTTTAAGTTACTTCGTCATCTTCTCCAATCAGAGGGTTCCATTAAGTTGCACAGGATCCCAATATGAGTTAGGTCAGCTAGCCAAGGTGTAAACGTGTACAGTAGTGCTTCCTCAGCTTGAGTTTGAACAGTGATTGTACTGGCTTGTGATACTGGTCTTGGACCTTCTCTGAGGTCTATGTAACACTGTACTGATTGGCAATACTTAAGAACATTAACGGTAGAGGGAGATCTTCATAGAATGGTTGAGGTTGGAAGCAGGGACACCTAGAGCCAGTTGCCCAGGACTGTGTCCAGATGGCTTTTGAATATCTCCAATGATGAAGACTCTGCAACCTCTCTGGGCAACCTGTGCCAGTGCTTAGTCAGCCTCACAGTAACAAACTTCTTCCTGATGTTTGGATGGTGCCTCCTGCGTTTCCATTTGTGCCCATCGCCTCCCAAAAATCTTAGACTAGTATATGGAAATATACAGCTAAAACTCTTGTATTCTTGGGCACCATGGCAAAAAATCCCCCAAACATTAAAATAGGGCAAATACATTTTCATCATGCTTGTTCTGCTTTCGTCAAGAAAAAGCAGATGTTGGTCCTTTATCTACCTATACACTGATTTCTGAAAATACAGTTTCAAATTCATCTCTTTTATGCTGCAAACTGTTGTTCTATGTAGTTTAAATAGCAGCTGGGACAATCTGATAAAAATGCACAGAAATATTATCAGTTTTAATCCAAACATTTATCAGAGCTGTGAAGCTTGCAATTTTACAGTACAGAAAATATGAAGGATGAGATGTCTTTAGAGAACTTGAATGCCATAAGTTAACATCTGCAACTTCATACAGCTATGCATCACTCTGCAATCATAAACTCAAGCTATGAGCGCTCTTCCCAGTCTGAACACTCATGATCAATTTGAATAGAAATGATTCACTCAGGATTTGGGAAGCAACACAGAGAGGCTGAAATGAATTATTCACAAATTGCTTCTGAAGAGGTAGATACCATAAGGTCAGAACTTCTCAAACCAGTTATGAATACTGCAGCAAAATCCCCGTTAACCTAGGAGTGTGCTTTAGGTGGTGTGTTCGATCCATGTAATAAGAAGCAGTTTTGAAATTTTCACGAGGTAATGTCAAAAAGACTAGAGGACGTTGCACTGAAGGCTCAGTGGAAGTGAGCCAGTCTTCTGCTCTTTTAGGCTTCTTAATACGTTGCAATGCCTCTGAACCCTCTTTCCTACTCTGCTATTCCTGACTGTTCCTCTGTGCTTTTTTGAACCAGATTTGTCTAAGATACTGCCTAAATTTATCCATGTGTCTCCAAAACTGCAAATGATAAGCTGGAGTAAAGCCAGCTGACTTCAACAGGAATACACGTAGTCGTGCCTGTGAGAGCAGAGTCTCTGTGACTTTTCTGGTCAATGCAGAGACATATTAATTTCAAATGCATATTTCATGCTTAGAGGTAAATTTGGCCTAAATTGCCCCTTTAATTGAAAATATAACTTGGCTTTCAGTTGTAGTTTGTAGCCAGGACTATATGAAGCCAGTAGGTATCACCCAAAGCCATCTGGAATCTGCCAGCTCACCTGAAAATCGTGCAAATGTTAGATTGGATAAAATCTCCTCCTTCAATGCTATTAAGTGAGTTTAATGTCTCAGCCTTTATGTCTGGAGGTGGGCAGGATAAATGGCTCTCATAAAGTATTGTAGCTACTGCAGAAAATTTCACATATGCTCTACCGTGTTGTGTTGGCAAGGCTCCGAAGAAACGCGAAGAAAGGGCACATTGCTCACAGTGCTAGCACATATGATTAAAGATACAGCATGACAAGTAGCAATCTCTCACAAGAGATTTAAAAATCACTTATTTAGAAAACCAATGCTTCCAAATCACTGAGCAAGATAAACAGCCCACAGGGACAACTTGATCTTATTATAATCTGAACTACCAGCTACTCTGCTACTATAGCTCAGAATATTTAGATGTTCTGGATACCTCCCAAAATCTGTGTACCCATCAATCTTTAGATGTTGGTTTTAAAGAGCTTCTTTTTCTTTCTTTCTTTTTTCTTACTTTAAAAAGACACTTTTCAATGGCTTTTATTATTTTGCTTATGAATCTTTAAGAGCCATGCAATGTAAAAAGCATGAAAATACTAATTTCTTGAGCTAATTTCTTGTCACTTACTGAATGGGAACATGGGCTATATGTTTATACCAGTAATAACAATACTGTGGTCGGTTGTCTGGAGCAGGTGCATAAGTTACCACATAAAAGTGGAGGTATCACAAGTGTGTTCTTTGGCTTCTGAAACGTCAGCAGCTTTTGGTGGTGAAATCTCTGTAACTCTTCTCCTAATCTTGTTTGTCTGTCTGTCGTTTTGGTTTTAATAGCTGCTCTGCTTGCTGATGTATCTGGTTACAGTAATCTTTTACAGTCATTCTTTAGCCTCACAGGCTACTGCAACTGAATTAATTATAGCGAAGTGCTGCAATAGAACAGCAATAATGTTCTTTGAGGTGTGTATTACACCAGATTCCCAGGTGGATGAGTTTTTTAATAAACTCAGCTTCACCGCATGTATCAGTTTTCTCAGCTGTCTAGAAATCAAGTTTACACATTTGCACATGATTTTTCAGGGCTAAGGGACCACACTGATATACATCAAGCAAAGGTGAAAAGCTGTTGCACATATAGGTAATTTTAATCCATTCCATTTTTAAATACCACAATAAATTTAATTTTCACAATAAATTAAATAGCCATGTTCAGTTTACAAAATAGAATTACTTAGTGTGAAACCAGTATTTACAAACATTATACACTATGTACATGATGGTTTTAGCTTTGTTGATACACAAGCATAGAAGAAAAAATCATTTGACCTTTTTTTGACACGATTGACATGCTACAAGTGACACTATGGTCCATACAATAAAACAATAGTGCAAACTCACCACAGGAACTCTGAAACAATGTAGTTTGTATGAGATATTAATTTCAAATGATAAGAAAATAGTGCTATCCACTCTCATTGTAAAAATTCAGCGCTGTGTTTAAAGTGTCAGTATTCCTTTAGCAATATACATACCAGATATAGCCTGAAGATTATGCTTTCTCACAGTTTCACAGACTTTTGACATGAATTTTTATGGCATAAACTAACGTTCTGCTTAGATCAATAAGAATGTCACATAAACACTTCACTAAGCGAGAGGAACACTGACCCTTTTAACATTGTCTGACTTTATGTCCCTAAATACCTCCTTTCCCTTTATTATTATACCTTAAAAGATGCAACTATGCTGACAGTAAATTCATGTTAGTTACTACTCTGTAGAAAAAACTGATCCCACTGTATATTTGGTCACACACTGCATATGTACACGTATGCATGAAAAAAGTTACTTTGATAGCCGTGTCTATGAAAAGTGCATATTTTAGCAGAGACATTTATTGCATGTCTCAGAAACAGAAAGTGTTGTATGAAGTTTAATTTAGGGCCAATTAAAGGTCCTCCCAGTGATCTGGTAAAATTTTTGATTAAAAGGATGAAAGAACTTGCGCAATTTGGTAATGACAGAGGTATCTACCTCTGGATGGATTCGTCCCTTGCTACCTGCCAGGCACTTGTTAAAGACAATGTTAAATCGCAAGCAGTAAAACCCTCTGGTGGCATTGAAATATAAATTGTACTGACTTATCCTTGGTGGAAGATTTAGGAACTTCTCAACCAGCTGGAGTTCTGGCAGTGGTTCTGTGATGAGCCGGTCTCCATCCACGATATGAAACTGTTCAATTGGGAAGTATTTTAACCATCTCTCCAGATGTTTTGTGTAGATGCTGGTTCTCACCGCTTTATACTTGGTGTTCACTTCACAGGTATTAGGATCAATAGCCAGCTTCTCAAATTTGTAGTAAGTTTTGTTCTTTCTTTCCTTACCTTCTAGCACCTGAGTGTAATCAGAAATAGCTCTTGTGGTAGGTTCCCTGACAATGATCAATAATTTGATAGATGAGTTCATCTTGTAAATCCTTTCAGGTACTTCCTCGGTGATAAAATATGCAGGGCTTTTCTCAATTGTTATTTGATGAGGGTACGAAAAAGGCATTTTTTTCCGGTACCACTCAACCCCCTTGGCATAGTTCTCGTCATTGTCAAAGAAGTGAATCTCTTGAGAAGCTTTGACCACTGCGGGGTGAAGGTTCAGCATCTCCAGCAGTGCTCGGGTGCCTCCTTTCCGCACCCCAATGATAATGGCCTTGGGAAGCTGCTAAGATTCTGCAGTTGTATTTGTTCCTTGGTGGCATTGCCCTTTCGGAACTCATGGAGCAGCCCCCGCTTGAACTGCAGAGCTCGCAGTGGGATTTCGTCCTGGTCACGGAGTCCAAATCGACCATCAATGGGGCAGAGGGGCTGCAGTCTGCAAGAAAAATAAGAGGTATTCATAAAAAAAGGATATCTCCTAAGGCAAGTTTTCTGTCTAAGGTAGTCACGCTCTTGGGAAACCTTTTGTGATGTAATGTGATCTGCCCATCTTTCAACTTTTATTCTGCCAGTGATTAAATTGTTTGCAAATTGTTTGATAATTTATTCTGTTATTTTGCTGTGATTTGTCTCAGTAACTTCTAACTCCACCCTTCTGCTCTCCACAAGCATAAGCACTATTGTTTCCATTCTCAGGGCTTCTTGAACCTTGCCTCATCTCCCACATTCCTCATTACTTTGTGATTGTCAATTTTTAAAGCATTCTAAGATGAATTTTATTTGATCATTTTGATCTGAAAATCCAGTTAATTTAAGTCATCTCTTTCCAACACTTTTCTATTCTAGCCTAAATTCTTTCCTGTGCTTCCCATTGTATTGACTGTATTAGCTGCTGATCCAGAGTTGGCCTTTTTAGTGAAGGGAAGCGAAAGGGACGAAAAACAGCTTTCTAGGCATCAACTTCCAATATTTTCCCTCCTCTTTAGAAGATGCCTGGTGTTTTCCCTGGGAAAGAATCAGAAAGACTGAGGTTCTGAATCAGATATGATTAGGAAGGCACAGAAGGGTTGGCGAGAATACTTTTTAAAAGTGCATTTATTCCATCATTACATCAATGATTTTCTTATTATCACTTATGTATGCTCCCACTGAACCTCATTCTGTGCCTTACTATTTCTTCTTTTGCCCCTGCATTTTTATGCTCTTCTTTTATATTCCCCTGCAACTATTTTACGTATTTTCCACTTTTCTAGTGCTTCTTTCTTGTATTTGATGTCACTGAGTGTAAGAAATGATTCGGTAAGAAAAATGTTTAAACTTTGCTCCTACAGAACCTTGAATAATCCCTCACCTCCACTCCCAAATCAGCGCCTTGGTCATTATACAGGCCAATATTGCACTGAAGATGAAATTGGTGTGTAGAGAGAGCTTCCAAAGTCCTACAGAAAAATATCATTAATAATTTTGCAGAGCCATGTTCTCCAAAATTAAGGATATGTGAGAACAAAGGTTTCCTAGGCAATTTTAATATGAGCTCGCTGTGCATATATATTATGATACGGTTTTTAAATTACATGGCCACATGCTATTATTTTTCACAGGACCCCTGCTCAGCCAGTATACCAGATGGGCAATGCTCATTAATAGCTGTTTAGGTATTCAGCATTTATTCTGATTTCTCAGCATGTGGCCCCTCAGTCATTTACTGTATATTATTCAAACCCTGCTTTCAGGACAGAATTATTTATTTCTTTATGGCTTTTCCATCCATCACTGCTTGTTGGGGTCTCTAATTTGACACTGATGCTAGGACAAAGGATGGTTGGGACAAAGTAAGTTTAATATCCCTGGCTGACCTCCTAGCTGTTTCCTTGATTATCCAGATGCTGAGAGGTATAGCCTGTCCAGACAGAGCCAAAGGAATAACCCAGATGACATTGCTGGGTTCACATGAGCTCTACCTACAAATTAGACTAATTAAAAAGTGTGATGAGAAGTGAGTTCCTGTTGTTATTTCTTTTCTCCAATTTCCACTCTCTTCTTTTCCTGTGCTCTCTGGCATCTACTGAATAAGAGCCTGACTTGGTGGCAAAGACTGAATCATTGCAACACTGATGCAAACCTGCCAATAAAAAAAATAAAAACCAAACAGAAAGCAATGTCTTGACAGTGGTACAATTTGGTCAGGCTGTGGCTGGTAAGACAGCCTTTCTGCAGCAGTGAGGTGGCAGTTAAAAGCAGAAGAAACAGAAGCTGCAATTACTATCTCGGTTCTTCTCTTCCCTCTCCTTCTGTGTGTTTGTTATTTGTTTTCAAGCAAAAAGGATTCCACAACAGCAGTTCCAGACCCATCTCAACTAATTTTGTCTTTTTTGCTCAAAAAGACAGTTAGCACTGCCTTCAGTATAACACAACAGCTTGTCAAACAGGGTGGTTTCCTTGAAACGTAAATAAATACTCAAGATATCCTCTAGGCTAAGGGAAGAGATTGAGTGTTGTTAAAAGTCCTTCCTCAACACTTTACATTTCAGGTTTTTTACTAAAAAAATTCTTATCCTTTCTCTAAACAATAAAAAAATCTCCTTTAAAAGATGTTGGCAGTGATGGTATTAAGCAGGCTGTCAGATCTTGGTAGCTGAATCCCCAGGTGTAACTATTTACTGTTAAATTGCAACATATTAATATTTTTGATTCTCTGAGTCATTTTTTCCAATAAAATAACAGAGTCCTTTGCAAAGAAAGAATATATGACATCTATTGTATCACTGAAGTTGCTCTCACAAACCGGGCAGTTTCTCAAACTGCTATGGTAAAGCTCCACAAATCTTCTTCTTGACAAAACCCACCACAGAACAATTCATCTCAGCGAACAGTATTTTTGACAAATTTCAAAACAGCTAAAATAAAGCTGGGCAATCTTAATGACAATGATCTCTTAAGAATATTTGCTAATTGGCTTCTAATATAGGTGTCATGGTGGTATAAGATTAGGAGCCTGTTCTAGAAGGAACAATTCAGAACATCAAAAGCAGATGCGGAGGCTCCCCATACTGCCGATGAGAGATTCAGGCAACTCAAAGCTGACCCAGACCTTCTCAAAATTGGCAGGCATAGAGTGTGTTTGAGCTTCCATGTGCAAAGTGGCTCCATGCACTCAGGATCTGAAGGACAGTGGCCTCCCCTGGAGGGAAGTGCTCAGCTCATCCAACTTTATGATTCAATGAATCAGACAAGCTAGTGGTAATTTCGCTTCGGGCCTAAGAAAACTCAAAACATTCCCATGGAAGAGCCTAACCTGAGGCTATTAAATGTGGGCCATCCCCAGGTCTCTTGTTCAAACTGATCGTCATAAATTAAGCATAAATGAAGTTGGATTTCTTCCTGAAAGTAGTTATTCCAAAGTCTATTGAAGCAACTCAGTGTCCTTTTAGTGACAGACTCAACAAGTTTGGATTGTGCCCTAGTGCTGAGGCAGAAAAACATTTCCAGTTAGTTCATCTGTGTCTCATCCATTCTAGTGTTTCTTTCTCTCTCTCTTTCATAACCAGTCCAAATAAAGGGCTGCTTTTTAGCAGTGTGATATTTTTCACACTGAGTGTTGCAAGAGAATGAAACTGAATTTTACTGCCATTGGCAACAGTATATATGAAACTGGTGGAATTCACTGCCACAGGAGGTCAGTGAGTCAAATACTGTGGCGAGATAATTTTATAGTCATCAGTAAATTCTGTAGATGTGCAAGCATAGATAATAGCCTAAGGTTAATTAGATTTCATGGCTCTGAGCATAAAATACACTTTTGCAGGGACCAGTAAGGAATTCTGCCTCCATTTACAGAATTACATTAGTCTCAGTGAAGTTTTTCACCTCTGAAGGATCAGAGATGCTTTGACAACCAGGAGAAAGAAGATCTGGGGCTTAATTGCACTTGGTCCTGAGTGCATGGTCTCTGTCTTCTTCTGAAGTGGGTTTAAGCAGCTGAAGAAGGCACCCAGTGACCTCAGATGGAGCTCAACATCACCTAGCAATGGACACTAGGTAGCTTTGTTTTCCATTCACTTTTTGTGCACTGCATATTCACACAGTGTTGGGTCACAGTTTTGAATTCAACTAGTATTTTCTGTCATTTAAAAGAAGAGTGCTAATAGAGTATTAGCACTGACAAACTGTCTACCAGCTTCTGGAAATCTCTAAGTGTCATTTCATTCACTCTTTTGAAACTGCTTTTTTTTTTTTTTTTTTTTTTTTAATCCTGTCTTTGTGTAGCACCTAGCAGAGCCATCTCAGGCCATTTTGAAGGTGACAGAAACAGCAGTGTCAGTGCAGGTAGCACTACTGCTGCACTCTCAATAACCAGTCAAAACTCAGCCTGGTCAGGAGTACCAAATACTCTTTAATTTCCTATGCTCGATTTTCTGCTGCTCTCTAGGAAATCACTTGCAGAGAAAACCCACTTATTTAGTACATTCAGCTCTGGAAAATACTGGCTAATTAACATAGTTAAAATTCTCAAACCCTGAAGCAATCTTTCAAGTGAAATAGTATTCAAAACTTGACGAGCTACTCTGCAGGCTCATACTTAATTTTAACTACCACTGTAGCACATTAATTGCTTGCTCATAAATTTAGAAAAGATGATATATAAATACATCATAACTGTTTTGCTGAAACTAGAGGTCAACACACAGATGCACACAGACAAAAATGAGCTACTGTAATGACATTTTTACTGGATGCTGTTTTATTTCTTCTCTGAAAACAAGTGCCAATGTGCTTAGAATACAAATGGACAGACAGAAATACTTTGACAGGGATGACCTGCAACTCTGCTCTTCTACTCTCTTGTCCAAAGAGGAGGAAAAAACAATGAAAACCACTGCTAGAATAGACAGTCTTTCTGACTTTCTATACGTGAGTAGACAGTAAAAAACCAAACAAACAAACAAAAAAACCCGCAGGCAATCTGAGTGCACTTATGATTAAGAAAGCAGCTACTTAATGACTCACCTATCCAAGCTCCCAACTCTGGCAACTAGATATAGGAGACTTCCAATAGCAAGGCTGCCTAGCACAAAGAGCTTCTGTCTCAGCAACGCCTGCTGTTTGAATAGCATGGCCCTCCATCAATCTTCAGGACTTCTTCAGTCTGCAGAGACAAGAACACATAAAACACTCATCAGAAAGCAATATACAGGGTAATGTTTAATAAGTTGTTGCAGGTGATTAAGCCACACTTGCAAAATTAGTTACAACTTTTTTGTTTGCTACTGGTTTTTTGTCTGACATGGTAACGCCAGGCAATGTATCTAGGATAGGGTGACAATTCTGAAGTGACAGTTCAGCTACACCCACCATTACTAGGGTTGTCTGGTAGCCACACTGTGGGTCTTGACTGTGTAGAGACTTGTGTTGTATTAGGATCTCTTGTTAGGTAAATAAGTTTAGACTTTAAGCCCTTCAGAATCAGCCTGGGCTAGATTTCAACAGAGATTCAAATGCTCTGCTGCCAAGTGAGCCAGTGGTAACTGGGAGTTAGGCTTGCAGGTCCTGTGCACAGAGTGTATGGGGACACATCTACTGTGTTTCTACTATTATTAGAATGCAAGCTGGAGAGAAATCTAAAACAGCATGTTTCCTGATCTGTGCCAGCAAGACCATGATAACAGACCTGAGAAGCATGTAGCTGGAGTGGGCGCAATGATGATTTTTAGACACCAGTGTGTCCTGTCAACTCTCCTTGTGCTGGGCATCAGATTGGGCTGTTCTGTGGAGAACCTCTTAAGCACCTCATCTGCTTGACACCAGCCTTGGCTGTCACCTCAAGACCTGATGGGACACAATCTGTCATCCTTGAACTGAACATGCCTATATCTCCAGATTTCAGCGACACCAAAGAATAGACTTAAATTTCCTTTTCTGATGTGCTCTGGAGACTGTCTAAAGCCCACAAATGAGCTTTCCTTCAAATATTTTAGATATGAGGCAGGCAGACCTTGTGCCAAGAAGATTCAACCAGAATAACCAGGAGGTCCCTAGGTAAGGTAGAAGGAAGCGCTGAATAGAACTGTTTGTCTTTAGCCTGACTCTTCCTTAGGCATGAAGTTTGTGTTCAGGACTGCAGACCTGTTCAGGAGACTCAGAGCTGCATGCCTAACACCTTCTCACAAGAACTGAGGAGAAAGATCAGCTTCTCCTTTCAGAGCACAACCGAAGATGACGTGGTTCTTCACTCTGTACCAGTCCTGGGTTTTCTTACAGATATACAGGAGAATTAAGTTCAAATCCTCTCACTGGCTCAGCAGATGTAAAGCCATATTGTCTACCTACCAAATGAATGGTTTAATCACTGAATTGATCCTCATGATACAAAACCCACAAATATAAATGGGAGTCACCTGAGCTACTTATCCATAGTCTTGCTCCCTCAACCAAGGAATGCTTAATGTATTATGGAGGAGTTTCAACAGAAACCGCTTTTTAAATGAATTTTGACTGGACTCACTTTGAACAATTTTTGATGTCAAGTGTTTTACTACCAGCAAAGCTTCTTTCACAGCTCACTTTCTTCTTTTCCAGCCTTAGGACTTGCATCAAGCAAGACAGGGGTAGTTTATTACAAGCATATAACTATATACCGAAGCAGAATGGTTAGTGGGAGTGCAAGGTTTGACTGGTCACTGTTAATCAAAGTCTGCAAATGTTTCTTTGTCCTGCCCATACTGTCAAATTTTTGGCCTGAAAGTTCTCACGAGACTCCAGGGTACAGTTTGGGAGCTACTACAAACTCCCAATTCCCAATAGACAGCATGCATGCAGCCTGTCTGCCTTAGTTCTGTCTGAGTTTAATGGTATGGATGCAGGTTGCTCCATACTGGTTGTCTTCGAGGGTGGTAGGATAGTCATTCCCAAGCACATTGGTTTTACTGCTATAGAGAAAGCCTTTTAAGACCAGCCCATCATCTCGTCATAAAAGAGCCATGCAATCCTGAAGCTCTGAGTCTGACTGAGTCTCTGACATTCTTCTGGTGTGCTAATAATAATAGTGACTCCTTATGCAGCGAGGTCATAGCTCAGGATAACCTATCATACAGGATAACCTATCATACAGAATATATTGCTTTTTACGTAGATAAAAGCGATTCTGTTATAAGAATTCTTATATAAGATCCTTATTGCAACATGAAACACATAAAACACAAAGTAAAAGGAGTTTGCAATGTAAATACAGAGACAGAAGTATTATCATCCTTTAAAAAATATATGAGGAGCAGAGGTACAGAGAGTTTAAGTGATTTGCTTAAGGTCACAGAGAAAACCTGTAATACTAGTGGGATTCCATGTGAAATGTCTGAATTCCTACTTAGTGCCTTAACTACAGGATAAACTTTTTCCTTTTTTGTAGTATATTTTTTCTTAACATTGAAAAATAAACAAAAAAAATTATATATAAATGAGCATGACATAGAGATTGAGCAAGGCAGAAAACCCCGGTCTGAAGTTTAATTAAGAAAAATGCACAGATACTATACCTCTATGTTGATATGCTACTGTTAATAATTTTTTAAATTAAGTTATTTAATTAAAAAAGAATAAAAAGGACATCATGATGATGATGATGACAGCAAAGTTTCATAGGTTTCCAGTTTTAACTCATTTAGTGCTGCTCTCTCTTAATAAAAGGATCACTTCAGTGTTACAGCAATCAGTTCTGAACTTCGTATCTTAGAAAACGTATACATATGCAGCCTTTTGTATATGAAGCTAAAGTCCTGTTCACACATTCTCCCTTATACAGGCTCTTGGACCTCAGTTAAGTCCTACCTGCAGGCCTCAGTAAGGCTGTGGGTGTCATCAGGCCATAATGAAATCTAATTACTGACAAGTTGTTTCCTGAAATAGATTCCACAAAGTTTCATGACCTCAATATTCATGTTTGCAATAAAATTCAATGCAGAAAAACCAGCCCAACCCAACCCAACCCAACCCAACCCAACCAACCAACCAAAAAAACCTCTCAATCAAATGAGCTCCATTTTCTCTGTGTTTGCGTGTACCTGAGTACAGAAAACTTTTCCATAGAATGACAACTACTAAACACCAACTTAAAAAGCAAATATAACATTATTTATTCTCTTGTTTATTTTTTGTTATCACTTTCAGCATCTAATTTAAGGTCCATGGAAGGAGTTTTATTTCAGAGAGGCTGGGACCTCTATAATACTTTCCTCAGATGTTAGGATTTTTTGTGAAAAAAAAAGTAGAGAAATAATATCTTGTCTTCGAAAAGGCTGTATCTTGCTCTATGTAGTAGAGGAGTGAAGAAACAGTTCTATTTAAGCCATAGAGTTAATACAACCAGAATGTGATTAAGGTGAAGGTCCCTAAGGCAGAAATGTTGCTGGAGACTAACATGACAACACTTAAATGAAATGGAAAGAAGAAATTAAAAGGAAGAAATTAAAATTCTGGGACACATAAACTGCACAAAGCTTTCTATAAGGAACACATAGTTTTAAACTTAACAAGAAGCTAGAAGGCAAGATAAAATGTAATCCAAAGGGTGGTTTTTTTAAAAAATAATGCTCTCTGTTGGGGTTGACAGCTGAACTGGTACACAAGATACTGACCAGTAGGAGGAGGCCTGGGAAAGCTGAAAACAGAACTCTCCCTGTAGCTGGATACTGAATGTGGAACATCCTACCAAAAGAAATGACAGTATACTATTGCACATCTCCAGTAGGCTTGCATCAAAAATATCTATCTTTAACAATCTAGTTAAATATGCATATGAGGAAAGTCCCTTCCTGGATATCCAAGAAGAATCACTATGCACAAAGAACAACACAAGCAATTCACAATGTAGCATGAATAACTTCTAGAAATGAAAGTGTGTGCAACATCATGTAGAGAAGAAAATGTAATGTGTTTTGTGATTTCAGATGCACAGCTGATCTAACTTTTTTAGATTGACATGGTAAAGTTAAATAAAGAAGCATCATTTAGCACTAGAAAGTAACCTTATCAGCATGTTGATATGAATGCCTCACCCAACTCCATTCCCTGTGTTCCCATCCCTGTTGATGAGAGGACTGGGGTTATTGAGTGAATTGCCAAGAGAAGATAGTACAACTATGCAGAACTGTGCTGATAATACCAACTGAAAAACAGATGGACTGTTCCTGACAAGATGAAGTGATCATGGATAAAGGAAGATATTGCGTGTGCTGGCCAAATAATGTGAATTTTTGCTGAACTCTTGTAAAAGTTGGTTTTAGGTTCAAAAAAAATGTTGACGTCAAAGCCAAATGAGTAGGAGAAAACAGAAAAAAGCATCCCAACAATGATGGTCTTACTGTAAAAAGTCTGAATTTGATAACACCACAAATTGTGCAGAAGCACAGAAAAGCCGTTGCTATAATCACCTATTCCAAATAAGCAGACAATGAGACAAGAAAATCACCAGGAAGTTGTTTGAAAATGATCTGAGGGAAATTTTTGGACACATGGAGCAATGATAAGAAGATGCTATTGATAAATGAATAGCATGTGGTTGATTATGGGGAGAAATGAGGCAACATATAAAGCTTTGGTAAACAGACTGAAAAGATACAGTCTTGATGGAGTGATGTGATTAATCAAAGTGAAGTACAAACCACAGGCAAATACGCACAAAGGAGGCTGGAAAAATAATAAATAGGAGATTTTTTTTAGTTTAATTTATCAATCAGTTGGCATAGATTTTTTTTTGATTTTGCACACCAGCAGGGGTCATTTGTTGACCAACAAGTATTTGTCTTCATACACTGTGAAAAGATCTTTTGAGATTATGTGGGATTTAAACACAGCGACTGAGAAAACAAGTCAGGGACTGACCACTTGTCACATTTCCATTTCTCTTGATTTTGCATTATGTTTCTTGAATGTCAACTACAGCTTCTTGCATTTGTCATTGTGAGTAAAATTCATACAAAAAGCACTTGGATTTTGTCTGGGTAGGAAATCACATGGTGTTTGGGAAAGGAGGGAATTTATCCCTCAAGTTGTGTGCATCAGCTCATGATCTTCATCATGGTCTGTCTGGAAGAGCTCCTGCTCCTGCTTTAGGCTCCTGCAGGTCCTCCCCTTTCCCTTACACTACCTCACCAC